TTCTGTGGAAATTAACACTGGCAACACCCAGTTAAGTCAATGTGAATTTTAATAGCAGCTGAAATGGGTACAAGATCAAGCTGCAAACAAAAACACTCTGCAAAGGAAACAGAAGTCATACAGAAAAAGTGAGTGAACAATTAATGAAAAGTTCCTTTCACAGCTTTCATGCTTTGCAATGCAGTCGCTTTGGATTAGAACAATGTGAATCATGCTTAAGGAAGGATTAATGGACATTAAAGAAAAAGCTCAGCATCCGGTTGTTTAACAGTGAGATTCAAAACAAACACTGAAGCCCAATTCCAAGCTGACAAATACAGCCTTATCGCAGAGAAGCTCCTTGTTTCTGTACAATCTTCTCGCAATATATATGTGTTACTTGTCAGCTGGGTAACAAAGATGCAACAGGCAGTGGCAGAGTGGCTGTCCCAGGGCAGCTAGCCTAGCTGCTTCGCTTTGCAGTTTCAAATAAAAACTCTGTAAGGCCAGGTGCACCTCTGTGCATTAGTGCCCAAAAGATACAAGTTGGCCACTTTATACTTCTCAGGGCAAATGTCCTGTTACTACAGCGTCTGCAAAAATCAAGCATCTCTGTCCAGTCTACTCCTTCAGTCACGTTTGCATTTTTCCTCAGAACCAAAATGGCCATAAAATTGCTCCTGAAATACACATTTAAGCTGAAATCCCTGTGAAAAAATGGCAGTCACAAAAAATACCAGCTACCAGCAGGGCTGGACACAGCCAAATCCAGCTGCATCCACAGGGCAGGCTCACTTCCTCCCTGCATCCCTCCAAAAAAGCTTCACCATGAAGTACAGCACAGTTTATTTTGTGTGCTGAGGTGGTGGCATGCAACACTCCAAAGCAGCTCCTCCTCGCTGGTCTGTGCTAATACACCCCCATGTTTCTCTTAGAAAAATAAAGAGGATTAGAAAATATCTTAACCAGAACATTTAAAAAACACGAGGTTATCCAGCTTTTATTTAACACTGTTTTTTCCTTTGTCCACAGTAGCTAGCACACTCGCCCACCTCAAAGGGCTATATAATCAGCTTATGTCATTCTCCCATTTTACAGCTGAGGAAACAGATGCTTGGGAGAAAGCACGATTTGCTCATTGTCAGACATCAAATCTAGGGCAAACCCAGGAATCAGAATCCAGGCTCTTGGATCCAGGGCCGAAGCCCCTTCTCTAAGGCACACTGCCTTGGGGAGCTATTTTACAATTGACTGAAGCACAAAAGCCCAGTCTAGATGGGAGGAGACAGCAGTGATAAAACAGAAGAAGGTGAAAGCAGATATACATCTCTAATGCTACCAGTACAGTCTCATTAACAGAAATTGGTATAAATCGACACAAAGAAAATTATGTTTCTGTCTTCCTATGCTGTGGCTCTGCTGAACAGGAACTAATGGCTGTAACGGGGGAAAATCGCGAGTGTAGATAAGGCCTAAAGAAAGAGAGGGAGATCATGTTATGGAAGTGTGAATAATCGACTCCAAGTAATGCTCTGGTGCTAGGAGAAAACAGGCTTCAAGAGAGATCTCCACTTCTTATCTCTTGCTCTAACCTAGGCAAACAAAAGGCAAGAAAGGAATGGACCACCACAGCATACTGGGAACCTATTCCCCTCAGAAGCAAGCACACAGGGAGGGAGGGCCAGTGATTCTGTTCTGCCAGCTGCCACCACTTCCTCGCCACTGGCTGTCTGCACAAGACAGGTCCTGCTGTCCTAGCTACACCTGGGTATGGACAGACAACAAATAATCTAAATCTAACCTCAAAATGAACCATCACCAAACAAGTGCTCTGTGGGCTGTTCTCTGCGAGCCTGGCAGTTACATGATACCTTGCCTAACTCTACCTTTGGGGACAGCACTTGCTATTAACCTGAAGTGTATCAGTCTGTTCTGGAGCGCTAGGGGATTACAGTACTGTTGCACCATCAGATTAAGAGCAGACTGCTTTCAAAGGACAACAACTGTATGCTCCTGTTGCCAATTAAAAAAAAAAACCACCAAGGGAATTAATAATGAAAGGATAACTTCAATGTGAGGGAGTTCAATTTTGTGTTTTAAGTGTTTTGTTGTAATGCAACATGCCATGATTTTTATTTATTCATTTTAATGAAAACAGTAGCTGACAGAGTTGCTATGGTGTGAGCTGAGGCCCTACATAAGCATAATCAGGATTTACTTGGTCAAGAAGTGCATTTTAAGTGCTGTATTACCAGGGTTCCACTGACTTGGAGGTTTTTGGTTTATAAAGTCTCTTCATGGAAAAGAGTTCCTACTAAGTGCAACTGTGTCTTCTTCTGAGCCAATACCAGGTTAGAACTCCAGTTTCAGAGTGGTTAGCCAGTCTGGGCTCCCAAATGACTCAGTGCAAAAAGACCTTCACCCCTCTCCATCTCAAAGCAAATAAAACCAGCTTATACAAACCAGTCAGTGATATAACTCAGTGAAGAGGAGGAGCAGCACAGGCTTGACCACATAACAGAGAGCTAGAAATAACTTTTTTTTCTATAGCAGTTCACTTCCCTGCGATTCTGGGCAAATCACTTAACTCCTGACAGTTATCCACTTGTACAAGAAGGATAATTATACACAGTTTCTTTCCTTGCTGAAAAGCAACTTGCTGTACTACAGAACATAAAAGAAAGGGAGGGGAGTGAGGTATAATTATTAAATCTTTCTAAACTCTTTAGAACAGTCCAGTGTGTAATATCTACCTTGCCATTCCCAGCTCCAAACCCTGACACTGTGACTTGGGAGCAGCAGTTGCCCTTGATCTGCTGAAGACAGCAATGGCATTTTCATTAGCAGAAGAAAACCTGAGCATACTGGAAATGTATCACTGCATGGAACACCCCACATAGAAATCACTCAATATAGTCCAGTACCTGTCTGTCATAACCAAATCTATTCTACCCCCTGAGAAGAGGGAGGAAAAAAAAAAAGACATGGCTCCTTCACCATGCCATAGGGCATATTTTCTTCATCCATCAGGCTTAACATACAGTTAGAGCCATCCTGTTAAAATTTTAGCAATGGGAATCTTAAAAGCTCCAGGCTACAGAGAAAGTGCATTTTTGATAGCCCAGTATCTTCGCCCAATTACTCTTTGTCAGCTCACCCTCAAGATCCATATCTCACTGAAGGTCAATTGTGGTTGAAAATATCCAGTACAGACTCATCCATTGTAAGAGTAAAAATAATGAAGACATATCCATCCTGAAACAGTGCATGTTCAAATCTAGTAGGAAACCCAAATAGGATCCCTTTCTAATTTCAACTGGCAGGACAAATGTCACCGTTGAGAGGGACAAGGAAAAGAAAAAAAGAGAGAGGAAGAAATTGCGTGCTTTTACAGCAGCCTGTGATTGCTGTCATGTCATCGTTCCCCTGAGTGTTTGCCCTTCTGAAGAAGAGATCTGAAAAAAGAACAGTCTCGCACACTAACCAGGAGGCAACTGCCTGAAAACTCATTCTGGGCCAGAAGAATGGGAAAGGAAGCCACAGTCATCATCTTCCAACTCATTTAGAAGGGCAAACATTTTTAGTTAGGGAGTGGGAACACTGAGGTGTGGTTTTTTTTTTCCTGTCTAAAGTTTTGTGGGTTGAGACATTTAGAAAACAGAAATACAAAGAACAATATAAGTTGCTGTATTAGCATACAACTATCGGGACAGAGGTATCGCAACACAATCACAGTAATACATTTTCATGAGTAGGCAATGTCACTCTGAATTTAGCAATCTCGATGTCAAAGCAAATAAATATTATATAATGAAAACATAGTATGAAAAGTCTAAAGATAACCTTAAAACACAATTGCTGATGAACTCAGTTTTCTGTGTTCTCCAGAGATGTTCTCTATCACCACAGTAATCTCCTTTTTTCATGCAGAATAGGTTCTTTACCAATTCTATGAAAACTACCACCTTGTGAATCCCAGAGACCATGGGCAGCATCCTGTGCTCTCTCTGGTGGGTGTCCTCCTCAACTAATAATCAACTGTTCCTTCTTAGCTTCTGAGATCCAGTGAGACCACTGTATCAGAAGATATATAAGAAAACAAAGCAGGACAACTCTAGGGTGAAAAATAGCAAGTTCTACCATCCAAAAGGAAAGGTAGAAAGTAGACGTTTAGAACAAATCATGTCAAGGAAATTATTTAAAAAAAAATACAGGAGAAACATTAAGATTATTCAAGAGAAATTTCTGGAAATGAATACAAGGATGTGAAGAATTTTTTTGTAAACCAAGGAGGACAGAAGACAATTAAATCTATTGAGGGGTCTGCAGAGCAGTTAAGTACTTTGTTTCATTACTCTTCAAGGAGAATAATAGGAAATTCTTTCTCAAGGGATACTCTCTCATAGGAAATCAAGAAATCGCTTGCAGATACAGAAGTCTCTAAGGAAGAGACAATTTAAGGACCTTAGCACTTCCGAAGAAAAGCTTAAAAACAAAGCAGTGGGGGTTTGGAACACTGACCTCATTTGGATCTCCTATCCCACAGCAGCTGAATGACATTAAGATATAAACACCACAGAACAAAAAATTCAAGGATTACAGTTCATAGAGATTTATCTGAGTCAAAACGCTGGACGCTGAGACCAGTTAAAAGAAAAAACAAGCAAGTATTTGAAACAGTATTACTCACACAGAACAAAGCAGCGCAGATTTGTGAAGGTAAACAGTGCACCTTTACTCCATTGAATTTGACAAATGCCAAAGTGAAAGATCCAGCAGATACAGTAGATTTGGGCTTTTGAACCACAATCCCCAGTTAAATAATTATTTTAAGGTTAAGATTCTGCCAAGAAATAAAAAGGAAATTTCTGACAAAAGAAAAGTATACATCTGTCTCTCCTGGAGAGAAAGGCCCTGGATGTCAATGTCAGAGATTTTATCAGCATGCTAATACTCTGAAGTCAAGAGATAGCAGGCAGGTGGATGAACTACATGCTGTCAGTAGATACCACTTCGCTAAGCTGAAAGTACTGATCCATTCAAGACAGTAACAACAGCTCAAGATCTGCCCAGCCAGACACCCCCAGCACCTACCTCAACTCAGCACCCGCAGCCACACAGTAGGGCTGCAAGTCAGATCAGCTCATCAATCCCACTGAAAGCAAATATATTCATTTTTTGGTAGGGTTACTTTTCAGTCAGACCACTGAACTGATTCAGCTCAGAGGACAGCTGCACAATCTCTAGAGTTCACTAAACAGAATAGTCTTGTGAGAGCAGCATGTTTCTCACAGTAGCTTGGAATTACCATCGGACTATGCCCAAACAACAGCAAAACAGTTTAATATTCACTTCCCAGTAGGCCAACAACTGAAGCAACCACAGGAGACAGCAAGGCCCAAACAATGCTGCCACCAAACCATTTTTCAAATAGCCAGGCTCCTTTTCCTGATGCCTTTGCACTTGGCGCTCTTTGGTCATGCAAAATAATCCTTTTCCCTCTAGACACTAAACATCTATGGTTACCAGTGAGTTTTTGCATGATTTGAGTATCTCTCAGCTAGTAACTGGACTGAGGTGCATTTTGTGGGGATCACCAAACCATTATTGGTAATTACTGAGCTGGGCTGGAATTCACACTGGTGATTTAGCTGAAAAAGGTCCCATCTCAATATCCTGAACCATCCACTCCCCACATCTAATTCGTTTTGAAATTACACCTCAGCGATGTGGCACCCCCACCCTGCCTGCAGGACGAACGTCCTTCCATGACAGTGGTTTAGACAACAGGAGGTTGTTCCTTATTTTCCAGGGAATGCAGTTGTCAGAGTTTTGTCATTGCTTTTTGAAGAACTGAACCAAGGGGCTAATTCATCCTTTCCTCTAGGATGATCCTGCATTAAAAGAAAAATTCCTCCACACAAGAGTTCCTGCTTAACTAACCCTTCTGATCAGGGTCTCACAGAGCAAAGAAGAGACACAAAATGTGAAGCACCCAAATTCCTAGGGATTCCAAGAAAATTTCCTTGTCTATCTACACAGACTATTAGCTCCTATTCTTGGTCAGTAAAACTCACTGGAGAGTGATGCCTGCCTATACTTTCTTAAATCCCTTCTACTAAGAATTATGCTAGTAAGTGATAATTTCCCTCCTCTGTCCAGAACCTGAGGCAGTTCCAACCATGCCAGGTTCACTCCAAATGGTATCTCAAGGAGCAGAAGGCACGTACTTTAGTTCTCCTCCACACTTCACATGTATCAGTTAAGATTTAGCTGGTGCTTGCGCTACTTTCACCCCTTCTGTGCTTAAAAGCAGTGAGGCAATATGGTCCACCATCTTGTTCCATTAAAGGGAGGAAAAAGAGGGCAGTTCAGCACAGCAACAACTGGAATTGTCACACATTGATGTAAAGCTTGCATCAGTGCCAAGGTAATGCCTTCCTGCTTCAGGCACATCTATTCGTCTCTGCTATGGTCCATTTTCAGCTATTGTTGTAAAGGTTTCTTTGACTTCCCTGTACTTAGGTTATAGATCACGTAGATTTGTGTAGGTGTTTTCTTGGTTTTGTTATTCTGCAGAACTAGTAGTCAGTCACCAAATACAGAGAACTAAAGTAGAAATTAAAGAAAAGAAAAGAGAAAGAAGCCAGGTTTAGTGACCATAACACATTCTGTAGAGGAGATGCTCTATAAAAGGACTAAATATCCATCCTACCAGAGCACATTTGCAACACACACATTTCTGGCTACTAAGGTACTGTGCCAAACATGGCAGTAAATCCTCAACTGTTTGGCAGATCATCTCAACGCAGGCGTTACTGAAACCAAGGAACAAACGCATCCGAAAATCATTTTTTCTGGGATCCATTTCCTAAGGGAATGTTCAATAAATATAATTCAAAGTAGGTTTGGTACTTCATGAAAATACTTAAGAGTCAAAACCTTCCCCACCCCAAAATAAAGAAATAGTTCATTAGAATTTCTACAGTTCTCAATTCAATTTATAATCTGCTTTGCAGAAACCAAAGCAGTAACTAGCCTAAGGTGGTAGCATCGGTTCTGAATACGCACTCAGAGGATTCACTCACCAATTAACATTGATTCTTTCTGGTACTCTTTGCTGAGGTGGCAGCGCTGGGTCACACAGGACACATATCTCTCCAGAACATACCAGCACATTTCATAGTAGAAAGGATAACGGAATTTGGCATGCACCTGAAAGCAAGATCGAGACAGTCAGTCCATGGGGAAGGGAGAGAAGTTTGCAGCACAAGGGCCAGTCATCATTCTCATCATGTTATCAAGAGCACAAACAGTATGCGGGAGGGGGAGGGGAGAGAGGGTGGGAGCCGAGTGAGATGTATGCCTTCGGCATACCAAATGAGGAAACTGCCTGCCTGCCTGCCATGATAGCATCATTTCTTGGTTCACTAATTTGTATCCTCTTGGGGTGGTGGGAGAGGAAAGGGTTTGTGTTCTTGTGAAATCATGAAACTGATGGATGGCCCCTACAGTATTATTTACCTACTGTATAAACATAGGGTGGTCACATACAGATGTTAGTCACTAAAATTCAAGTTAAAATAAAGGTGTTTTTTTTTAATTTCCTAAACACTATCACACGATTTTTACCAAAATGGCAGCATTACCTAAAATGAGTCAAGCAGGAAATAAATCTTTGTCAATTACAGTCTTCACGACAATGATCACACAAATTCTTGATTATTGATAACTACACGTTAAAGGTAAAAATCCCTTATGTGGTTTACACATAATATTTTGGTAACAAGTTAGTTTTTGCCATAAACAGAACAGAAAAGCAGGATTTTGACAAAAGATCCTGTCAAGCTGTGCACTTTTTCTTACATCTCAGACCTGTTGTTCTCACACAAAAAGCTTATTCTCCAACACTATGTATTTGTGAGATTATTTCAAATTCAAAAGAAAACAAGAGTGGTTTTCCTTCCTCTCCAACATAGTTTTCTGTCTATGGGAGGTCACTGTACCAAAAAAGAATCTGGGAAGCTCCTAAAATGCAAGAACATATGTATATTTATTGTGATTTGTTAAAAATGGATGCCATGCATCTTGCATGCACTTGTACTTACACTGTACACTTCTTTCTCCTGGTGGCACAGAAATTTGCATTTCGCAGGCTTGCATGCATGCATTGCAACTGGGATTATAGGGACTGCTTTAAAAATATTCTACGCATATTAACTGCTCACCTAGCCAAGAAGTATCCACCCACCTTTAATGAAAAGCTGGACTGCACCAGAAAGGAGCATTATCTTAGAAAGCCCTTTATAAAAAACAAAGCCAAAACATCACCCCACCCCAGCTCACCCAAAAAACAGTGAAGTCTAAACAGAACCACTAATCCAGCACCTGGAAACTCAGATTCAGCTCTGCAAAGCAGGCAGTGTTGAAACATCTGCATGGCGATATAAGAATTGAGCACACTTACTAGAATGCCCATATTTGAAAACTGTCCCCAAGGTGGACAGTCAAAGAACTTGCTTCTGTTCCCAGGGCACATGAAATGCAAACACTTTTAGCAGTAAAACAAAATGTAATGAAGGGAAACATACTGTATTGTCCCACTAAATGTATCACAGCGTAGGATTTAAATACTCCATGGCAATTCCCAAAAGTTAAGACCTCTTAAATTCAACCCAAATGTAGCTGGCAAATCTGGACTGCACGTTGCTATGGGTTATGCATCCAGCGACGCTGCACCTTTTCATGTATTTCCCTGTATTGTCTGCTACAAAGCACATGTACTAAAAAAAAAGAAAGGGGAGGGTGGGGGGAAGGCAAAAGCCAACCAACATCCCCCTAAATGTGAGAACATTTAACCCCAGGGTCTTTTTGCATTGGAGAATATTTTTCCTTTGGTTTAGTTATTTGTCATAAAGAAGAGATCGAGTCACTTATCACGATTACAGAACACAGGGGAAATTAGCCATGCTAAAATATATGCTAATAAAGGAACTCAAATTTTTCCAAGAGAGCACTGCAGGAAACAAAATTTGCAAAGAATTGACTTACAAACAGGAAGCCGCCTTCCACCCCTCAGCCTTCAAAAGGTTTTCAGCCACATGCCTGGGAATATTAAAGACATCATTGCTCAACATTTGTTGACAGATTCTGAGCGTCACCAAATTTAGTTGTTACCAATGTTAATTCAATGTGAAAGACAAGGCAGTAATGCATGCAGTGCTCCCATTATGTATATCAATCTTTAATATTCAATTTGAGTTCCTAATTGCCTCACTATCACTGTTCCAACCCACAGCAAATCCCTCCATGCCTCTGTAATTCACTATTTGCCCAAGAAGGCTCTGCTTTTACAAACCTTCAGAAGTTAAGAGCTACCATATGTAGCAAGAGATACTGTGCAAAGATCTACAGTGCCTTTTGCCAGTAAAGCAAGACTAACAGTGCTTTAAAAATTTTCTAAACTTTGCCTTATGGAGAAGTACAGAGGAGTACATTCTTTATGATATCCTTGGACATTTATCCATTATAATGGATGTGAACTGCATTATGTGCATGTCTATACATTTTCCATTGTACACTTACGGTCAAATGAACTCTTATGGGGAGGAGGGGAAAAATAAGAGAAAGAAAGAAAGAAATTAAAAATGTTCTGTGATGAATTTAAAGTGTAATATCTGATACAGACACTGCCAGAGGACTAAATCCCCCACCAGCAGGGAAATACACTAGATCATCTAATAGGCATTTCCAGCTCTAACTTCTGTGATTAATAATTTACAATCCACTGAATAAATTTTTTAATTATTCCTGTACAGCAAGAAAAATCCTCTCTGGAATATGATCCATTTCTTTAGTTCAAAGTGAAATTATTTGAGAGACTTATATCCCTCTCCAAAAACAAAACAAAAAACCCTAAACAAGTAAGACACGTTTTCCTTAAGAAAGTATTAGTCTCTTCCACAATGTCCATTAAAATAATTACAAACTCCACTTGTGTTTAATCAATATAATCACAAAAATGAAAAACAATTTATGGTTATTTACAAAGTAATTAGTCTATCCACTTTAAACGTTACCTTACGTTCCAGAAAACAAAATCAGTAGGAAACACCATCATCTGTGAGTGACCACCTTACGTAGGTATTTTGAGTGCTTTTGTCCCTATCCATGTTCCAATATCTTAACACAGTTAAATTTAGATGAGTTGGGAGTAAGTTTGACACGTTCTTCCTCTTCAGTACAACAGAGCTGTAACAGCCCTATGCCAAGATGATGAATCTCTGCACAGCAGCCTGCTTTGCAGTTATTCAAGCTGGTCTAGCAGAGAGCTAAACAGCTTGGCCTATTTGACTAGCTGTTAATTGGCCTCTAAGAAAGCCAGACTGCAAAATGAGAGTCTCTACAAACTGTAAGGCTGGAGAGTATTTGTTTACCTCAATTGCACATTAGGAGCTGTTTCCAACAATAGACATGTTTTTTATTACTCCTTAAAACTATTTTTAAATGGCTATAACCCTCTTAAAAAGTCTCCCAGGGATATGAGAAATTAAGCTAGAATAAGCATGACAAGTATATAAACTAGGCAATTTTATCAGGCTGTAAATCAGCACTACCATTTCAACCACATATTTATTCTTGTCTTAGCTGCTAAAACAATAACAACTACACCTAGCATAAAAATGACTCTGAATATCAGCAAAGATGATTAAGCATTATATAGCAGGTTTAAACACAGTGAAACCTCCACAAAATTGCTCTGTGCAAAATGAAGAGGGAAAACACACCTGTATTACACTTTGATTTGAGTGTGGCAAATTCGTCAATCACATTGTGTATTTTACTTCTGTGCTACACACAATGGAAAGAACAATACTGATGAGAAAACTCATTTGCAGTATGTTCACACTGGCAAATTTGTGTGAACTACATACTGCACTGAGTCTGCTGTACTAGCCAGTGTATGAATAGAATTATTTGAACACAGAAATTAAAAAATTTGGTTGGCAAAGCAAATAAAGTAGTACACACTAGAATCCTATTTTGAAAATATTTACCCCTTCAAGATTCCTGCATGGTATTTTTAGGGCTAGGGTGGGTGTGGGTGTTATTATTTCTAAATAACAGTATTGATTTTCCTGCCTTTTATCAAACTTCTGTATGCCTTAGTTGCACGGCTTACATTTTGCTTCTGTCTAGAAATTCTTGCTATTCTTTGACTGTTCACACAGCTTTGTTATTATACGGCTGCCTACGAGCACAAGTTTTGTGAACACAGGTACAGGCTGTGCACAACACATTTCTAGCACACAGCAACATACAAGCACTGAAATTGTTTCTGTGAAGTCAAGGAAACTCTGGGCTGTTAGCTTTCATTAGTCTTTTTTTAAAGCACTTAAGCATTTTTCAAAGGAAAAGAAGAACTACACAGACTTTGAAGAAAATCTAAACCAAAACTGACAGGCATAAAGGTCTGATTTGGGACTTCCAAGTGTTGCGATATCCCTTTCCAAAAAACTCTGACAGGACATTTTCAAAGAGGCAGATAATCCAACTCGCAGAACCTTCCTATAGGATCAAGGTGCTAGCGACTTTTCAAAGGCATTTCAGTGTAACTGGCTGGTAAGTTCCTAAAAGTTACCAAAATACTTGACTGTTATGGGGAAATCTGTCTCCTGGTATAAAAGCTTAGGAGATCAAAGCTGCACCCAGCTTCTGGAGGAGAAGGACCTGACATGAAACACTACCGAGCAGTTACAACCCAAGGTGTGTAATCTTGGGTTGCTCAAGTCCTGTCAGAACAAAATGTCAGGTCTTCTACTGCTTCATGAAAGAGCGTTTCCTTCCCATCTTCCCCATAGACACAGATGGAAATAACTTGTTTCTGGCATCGAACCTTCCTCCCAGTCCTCACTTCTCTGTTCTCCACACAAGTCACCTGTGCTAGCATCTTTCCCAGCAACAACACACCCTCCCCTTGAGCACCTGCAGCATATATATATCCAGCATCTACTGCTAGTTCTTATTTACAGCACTCTGAAAACCTTCCTGTGCCTAGCACCTCTGTCTAGCCATAATGAGCCCCTTCCTGCTTCTGCCATCATAACTTTTTGCTGTCCAAGTCCCTTTACTCTTTCTTAAGACACTTGAAATTCTTGCTTTGGGACACCTATTCAAAGCTAGGATGAACTCCACTCTGGTCTCTAGCTCCAGTTCTGCTCTCTGCTACATTCCCTCTATTCTAATTCCCCTGAATTTGAGATTTTGTCTTCGTCTCTTACACTAAGAATTCATTTTTCTCCTTAATATTCCTTCTCTTCATCAAAGCGACTCTAGGAAACCAACTACTCCCACCACTGTTTTGCAATGTGAAGGCCTTGTACCCCCTGTGAAGTAAGGGAGCAGTCCATAACACAACACTGGCAGAGAGAGGCAGCAGGGAGGACGCCTTTCCTCTCACTGAGTCAAAGATACGTTTCAAAACAATACATATTTGCTTCAGGCCTATGCACTTTCACTGCAAAGAGAATGATTTGAGGAAAAAGCCCACCTGGAGCCTGAATTGCACCCTCTTGGAGACATGAACAACAGTGATCTGTACTGATGTCCAAGACACACCATTTTAAGACTTTTTAGTAAAGAAGAATTGCAACTTCCTGCCATTTTGCCAGCCCAAATCTCCATTAACGCCACAGCTGGCACCTGTGCCAGTGGTTTACCAGCACTGTCTCAATGCAATGCCTCCAAAACAGTCAGTCACAAAAAGTCCCCATCTGAATTTGCTCATACCACTGTTCCATTTTTGCATGCTAGGTGTCCCGTTTATTAATCAAGGATAAAATTTTCACTCCCAACAATGAGGCTGCACAGTAACCTCCTCCAAGATGTAATACTATTTCCGCCAGGTAGATGCTACAGCCAGATGAACATCACAATGTTCACATTAATGTCACACCCCAGACTCCCCTTGTTCCAAGAAATTCCTGCATAGTATCGAGTCATTGTAGAAGAAAATCCTGCAAAGTATAGAAGGTGTCGTTTCATACGCAACTTTGGTGTAGCTTTGTCAATTCAGCTGTGGAGAGCAGAACCATCCTAGTCCTGTTAGTTCTCCAGGCTCGGGTATCCATTCCAGGTGTGCACAGAGAGATGATAAGCAGGGGGTTACCAGAAGTACTGGTACAAAGGTCTGTAAAGCGCAATATGTGTTTGTGCAAAAGGGAAGGTGTTTATGAAAGTTTAACAGGCAGACAAAAGACACAGAAGGGACACGTCTGTGGGAAGTAGGGAAAAACAGATGAGTAAATCCCACTAAAAATAGCCAACATTTGAAAGTCTCATTACTTCACGTTTACCTCTTGTTTCAACGACTCTGACACGGAGCTCCCACCACTTCTTGTTTGTCAGAAGGGAATACGAGAGAGAGACTATGACAGATCATAGTCACAAAGAACTGTTCAGTTAAAAAGAGAATCAAGTATCCTTACCCTTGTTCTGTCCTCAATTTCATAGATGCGAAGCTGCATGGGAACATTAAAGCTATGCAGGATATTTCCACCAAACACCAGAGAATCTACTGGAGTATAAACCGCATGTATCCACCCTAGAGAGGGAAAGCAAAGAACTGAGAATGCCTCATGCTATGTAGTATTACAGAGCAATTTATAATCCAATTTTAACAACCCCATGAACCCCATTCTGCAGGGGATGAGAGGTTAAAACAGCGAAAGGTTAAATGGTATGCTCGTAGCCACACTTTCAGACTAGTCACAGCAGAAGAATGGCATCTTATGATGTACAGTCTTACAACCCTCTGTAAATTGGGTTCTTCTATTTATTCACAGAACAGTTACAGTGTTTACTGAGAACACACAAGCTTGTGACTCAACCACATCCATGACTAAGAAGTAAATTCACTCTATTCAGTACACTTGGCCCTCAGATGTATCTACTGGCACCATCCAGTAGGGTTGCAAATCATGTTAGCAGTGGTGGTGGGCTAGGGCTGTGGAACTGGACTGAGTCCACATCAAACTTCTTTCACACCAGCACCAGAGCACGCATCTTCAGATGTTGACAATTTCAAATTATTACCAGTCCTCCTTCAGAGGTTAAGTTTCGTATCCTGCTTTCAGCTTCCTGAAGCAACCGAAATATCTTTTTCACTGCAAGTCCCAAGTTAAGGGATTTAACATTTCTACTACTGAAGCTGATGAGGCTGTTCTGACCCAAACCTGCAAAGGACTGAATTAATTTCACAGGCTCCAAAGCAAGGAAAGAATCTTCTCTCAACAAAAAATCCAGGCATGGCAATTCAAGCAGCCACACACCAGCTCCTCTGCTTCTCATTGTTTGCTTGGTATGTCAGCAGCTGAAGGCCTGGCTATGCAAGACTGTAGCCTCTGATCTCTGTAGTGAAAAAGGAATTGATCCTGCTAATGATCTGGGACCCACAGAGACTCGACACTTTTTTTTTTTTTCTTCTTTTTTAATGAAAAGCATTGCAATTCATAAACCAGCAGACAGCAAAGCAACATAGGGGGCAGTCAATTTCCTCCTAACTGTGCAGTACTTTCCATTAAAGCTGTGGCAGCTTTCCTTCACTTCAAGATCAGCGAGGGAGCAGGAAAATGCCATTCAGCCTAAAGGGTTCTCCAGCTAGCAGCCACGAAAGCTCTCCTCCGCAACAATCTTTAGACCGTAAAGCCCTCAAAGCTGTATCTGAGAAGTCCTTGAGCCACAGCAGATGGCAGAGCTGGGGCTTTCATTTAAGGGCATATTGGTAGGGGAGAGGCAGGAAGAAAAAGAAATCAGCATTAGAATTTTCACCCTGGAAACACAAGCTCATCACTCTGGATACATTTTTCTGAATTTCAGAATCACAGAATGGTTGAGGTTAGAAGGGGCCTCTGGAGGTCCAACTCCCCTGCTTGAACTGGACCACCTAGAGCCACCTGCCCAGAAGTATGTCCAGATGGCTTTTCAATATCTCCTAGGACGAAGACTCCACAACCCCTCTGGGCAACCTGTTCCAGTGCTCAGTCAATTTACAGGTTTGATTCCATATGATAAATGTGATGCATATAAAAAAGCAGGTGGCTTATGGCTCTGGCAGCTCTTGGTATTACTGCATCTTTCTTGCTCCAGTTAGTATAATTTCAGTTAGAGTTGCTCACAATGATCCAGCCTGTTTATTACTTCCAAATCAAGAAAAACCAACTAGAGAGGATTTTTATTTTTTCATGTAAGGGTCATGTGTCAACTACATACATCAAAACTCTAAAAACTCTTCACATCTGAAGTAGTTCACCATCTCACGTCAAATACATCAGTCTGTACTAAGAGCAAACTATGGGAAAAAGAGCAATCTTCTTGATCCTGGTCTTTGGGAAGTAAAGAAGATCCAAGGTCAAGGAAGTTGAGGCCACTGCTTCCACTAGGTAATCAAAGATTTATGTGAGGGGGTTGGGAGAAAGAATGGAAACCACATGCTGAAGCAAGTCTGTTGCTGGGGCCCCAAAGCCAACTTAATTGGATAGGTACTGAAACACAGGGTCAATCTGAGTGACAATTCACCTTGTCAGTTTTAGAGATGAACAAAACAAAGCTTGAAAAACTGAAATGACTTTGTCCATGGCCATACAACTGAGTAGTGGCAGAAGACAGGTCAAGAAACAGACAGTTATCTGCAGAACATCAGAGAGTCCCCACAACTACCTGCCACTGCAGTTCTCTCAGCACAGATCAGTCAACATACAAACATAGTGGAGCTGGTGGATACAACAAGTTGTTTTAATGGAATGATCAACATCATTCTAAATACAATGTGTCATGGCTTAATGCGGCTGGCAACGAAGCACCACGCAGCCACTTGCTCACTCCCCCCCTCCCTCAGTGGGATGGGGGAGAGAATGGGGAAGGAGAAAAAAGGTTAGAGCTGTGGGCTGAGACAAAGACAGTTTAATAAGAGAAAATAATAATAGTAATAATAAGAATGGTAACAGAATATACAAAACTAATGATGCACAATGCAATTGCTCACCACCCACCAACCGATGCCCAGCCCGTCCTGAGCCGCGATCACTCCCCGAGCCGCCATCAGTCCCTGAGCAGCAATCACTCTCCCTGCAACCAACCGACTAACAAACTCCCCCCCCCCGCGCACGACGGTCTATGGTATGGAATAGCTCCTTG